ATCGCTACTATGCCATGGTGATCAGTCATATAACTGATAACTGACAACAGAATGTCAGACCATTCTTGGCTTGCACGTGACGCCACTGTATTTTCCATATTTGGGTATCCGCCATGTTGGGGTTCCACCGCGGGTAAAATTTACATGTGTTTATTATGCATATATGCCATCGCTGTGTACTATACGATGAATTCCTTGGAAAATGAACGCGTCCCCTCGCTTGACGAGCTTTGTAGTAAGATCCCAATATTGTCGGAGTATTGTGCTAAACTTGACGACAGCGTAAAACGAAGATACGTAGAAAAAATCGCCGAAATTGGAGTCGATCCGGTCACCATTCCCGATCAACAGTTTGACACGGAGTGCCTTCCACCTATCGAAGCTATGGATTTGCTTAGCTACTTGGTGTTGGAAACAAGTTTCTACACGAAAGAGCAGTTCAAAGCATACAAGAGTTTGGAAGCCTACAACTTTGTGGTTTCAGGATTTTTATCAGGCATTCAAGGCTGTGTTGTCGCTGGAAAGCACATTGTTACAGGAAAAGTGAGACATTCACAAAGAATGAATGACCCTTTGATCTCTGTGTGGGTTGTCGCCGAAAAAGACGGAACAGTCAAATCAGCCCACTGCTTAGGGTGCAAAGCAGGACTCTCGGAAACATGCTCGCATGTTGCGAGTGTGTTGTTTTATATCGAGGCGTGGACGAGGATTCGCGGTAAGTTGGCCTGTACCCAAGTTAAATGTACGTGGTTGTTGCCATCATTTGTAAAAGATGTCCCATATGCAAAAATGCGCGACATAAATTTGACCTCCGCCAGAAAACTTAAAGCGGATTTGGATGAAAAATCGATAGCTTAGGAGAGGCTCAGGCAACATCCTTCACCGGCAGCAGAAGAGAACTAACAGTGCAAGTTCCCACGGAGACTGAAATGAACATCCTCTATGAAAGTCTAGACAAATCAAAAATTAAACCAGTGGCTTTAAGTCTTATCAAGCCCTACTCTGACCAGTTTGTGTCAGAAAGCAGCAGTATCCAAACAATCCCAGACCTTTTTGACAATGACAATTTAAACCTCACATACACTGATTTACTAAAGAAGTGCTTTAATGTAGAAATTTGCTTGTCAAGTAAAGACATTGCACAAATTGAGAGAGATACACAGAGCCAGGCAAATGGGAGTGCATTTTTTCGACATAGAGCGGGTCGTATTGGTGCGTCAATGAGTTGAGCAGTCTGCCGGACAAACCCAGCACAGCCATCACAATCACTGATCAAGACAATCTGCTATCCAAATTTATTTAAAGTAAACACAAAAGCAGTGATTCATGGGTGCAAACATGAAGCTGATGCAATTAAAGCCTATGAAGAAGAAATGAAAAACAGTCATGATGACTTTAAACTCTCGCAGTGTGGCTTAGTTATCAACCAAGAGTACCCTTGGATTCATGCCACTCCAGACTTCTTAGTATCTTGCTCATGCTGTGGACTGGGGTGCGGAGAGGTCAAATGTCCTATTTGTATTGACCGATGTGACTTTGACAGTTATGTTTTGAAGAAGAATGCTTGCCTGGAAAAGGCAGCCGGTAATTTCCAGCTGAAACGAAACCACAACTACTTTTTTCAAGTTCAACAACAGCTTTTGACATTACCTGAACGGAAGTACAATGATTTTGTTGTTTGTGCTTTTGACAGTTCTCACCGTGCAACAATTATCAAAGAGAGAATTTACCCTGACCATGGTCACTGGAAGGAGGTTTTGCCAAAACTTACCACTTTCTGGAGAACATGTATTTTGCCTGAAATTTTAGGCAGATGGTACACAAGAAAGTGTGACATTTCTGATGAGATACCACAAGCAGGTGTTGGAATTTGTTTCTGCAGAATGCCATCATGTGGAAAACACTGTGAAATGTGGAAACCCCCACTGCCCATTTGTTGAATTTCATCCCTCGTGTTTAGCAATCTCAACCCCGCTACCAAGGGTGTGGTACCGCCCACACTGCTGCAGGCTACCACAGTTTAAGCGGTCGAAAAAAGGAAAGGAGAAATCTCCAGAAATAATGGCTAAGGCATTATCTCTCAACAGTATTTGTATTTGCCAAGCAGTGCCACAGCGATGATTGCCAGAGTGGAAAATTTTTTCACTTGACCTGCCTTGGTTACAAGAAATTGCCCAACAACAGCAAGACAACTTGGAAATGCACCGATTGCAAAACAAAACATGCAAAGCCATTTCATGCCAGCACCGCAGTTCCAGGGACATGTCAGGAAACCCCAGTTGCACCTACCACTTGTTTTTCTCAATCTCATGATGATAAACCTGCATCCTATGAACTTGACAATGCACAAGAATCTGATCATGACAGTGAAGAGGAAAGTGCTGATGACATCGAGGTTACTATGGTTACAACTAGTGAATCTGAAAGATATCGTCCACTAAGAAATCTTGATGAACAAGATTATCAGCTTATTATGTCCCCCCATGGTTGGCTTGATGGTGCAATTATCCACAGTGCACAGGTACTTTTGCAGAAAATTAACCCTTTGATTGAAGGTTTTCAGCGTCCTACATTAGGTCCAGTGCGAAATTTTAATGTAGTTTCTGGTGAATTTGTGCAGTTATTGCATACAGGACAAGATCACTGGGTTTGTGTCAGCTCAATAGGATGCATTCCCGGAACAGTCAGACTTTTTGACAGTCTTTATCATGACATCATCTCACAAGAAGTTGAAGATCAGGTCAAAGACTTAGTATTAGCAGAGAGCTTCCAGAAACTCGAGTATGCACCCTGCCAACACCAAAGAAATGGAAGTGACTGTGGGGTTTTTGCTATTGCTTTTGCGACAAGTCTTGTATTTGGATCCACTCCACAAAACCTGAATTTTGACATTACAAAAATGCGCCCACATTTAGTGGCCTGTCTTCAAGCTGGTCTGATGTCCGAGTTTCCATCGTCTTAAATTTCAGTGCCTTACAAGAACCCTTGCAATAATTGGAGCATTAAATTTTTTTTAGCTACCTGGACAGCTATCTCACATTGTAAACTCATTATTTTTTGAGACACACCAAAAACCTTCAGGTGTAAGTGTATTCAACCAAATTAAAATACGTCCCTTTCATTGCTTTACAAATCGTAATCCCCTTAACCCTTCACTCCCAATATCTGAAATTCAATTCTCCTAACTGATGACCATACAAATCTTTGTTCTCTGTTCCTGAGAATTTGGTGTAACATAAAGACACTTCCCCATAGTTGATAATTTTCCAAATTCTCATCACCTGTCTCCTTGACAGAGTAGTAAAATCGTTAGGAGAATTTATTTGCTAGTCATTCCTGGGAGTGAAAGGTTTAAGTAATAATTTTTCTAATGTAGGCATACGATAAAGAACTTCAACCTAATGGCTTAAAAATGGCCTATATTTTTTTCTGCCTTAGCAGTATAGGCAAAAGTTGGGAAGGTATCAAAGAAATAATTTTGGATGATCGCATTTCTATCTCATGGCCTTGTTTTCTAAATAAGAAAATAATGATAATTTATTGCAAAGAGAAAATTGACACTGATCGCTAATGGACCTTAGCAGCCATTAAGGGATATAAATCTAGTGGTAAACATTTAACTACCTTTCCTTTTTGTACAGTTATTAATGATCAATGATGTGGATATCTTTACAAATAAACAAACTGTTTAGCTGGTCATCTCTCATTTGTCTTTTTTTTCTCTTTTCGAAATATAATTAAATAAAGCTGGCTGGTTTTGGTTGTACAAGTTGTATTTTCAAATAAATGAACTAGGAATTACATGACAGGATGAACTTCTCATTGTTATAATGACTAAATTTCAACTTCTTGGGTTTGACATATAAAATAGCTTTACTCCCAGTCAATTTGTATTTTCAAATAAATCAACTGGGAATTACATGACAGGAGAAACCTCTCATTGTTATAATGAATAAATTTCTTTCAATTTCTTGGGTTTAACAAATAAAATAGCTTTACAAAAGCACATTGTTACCTTTGGGAGGGGGGGCACTCAACATATCTTTAGCTGGGGAGGTACGGCTCAGTCACTCATCTCCCAATTTTTCACAACCAGCTTGAGTCATAATACCCTGTCTCAGACAAGAATGAAACTATTTATAAAATCTGTTTACAGCAAAGAATATGGATATCCATACAAGTTGGGAGTTGCTTGTGGGTCAACTGTCTGGTGGTGTTTCAAAACTAATTTTCATTCTTTAATCTCCTCATTGAACCTCTTAGAATCCCATTTAATTTCAGGTGAAAAAAAAAACCATATTCAAATTGGCCACGCAACCCCATAAGGGACTTCCCCCAGGTGGTGGTACACATATTTACAACATTTTAAAATTAAACCAAAAAATTTCGAAACAGCATGGTTTACATAAGTACAATGGAATCCCCGTTTTGTAAATCCTCTATTTTTTTAAAGCTTCTGATAACTTGGACCTGGAGTAATTTCCTCTCTTAAACTATTTTTAACCATTGATTTGAACTCTCTGATTTCTCAAACCAATTTACACTAGCCTTAGAGGTTAAAAAAATTGGGATTCCATTGTATTTTGCACAGATTAATCTAATCAAATGGGACAATGGGGCCACATAGATTGACAAGTCCAGAGCAAACTCTGAGTATGCGGTCGATCATAGGTACCTGGATCTCAGGATTTCCAGTTGGATTACAGGTTAAAAAATCTACTGACAAGGTATTCTCAAGAATAGTGTATTTCCTGCGTAAAAGTCCTATAACTCGTTCAACATGGATCCTAACATGTGCGATCCCCCTTGTTCTTTCAACGTCAACAGGGTCCAGTTGTTCTTTTCCTTTAGTGAATGGTGGAATTACGAGTTTTGCTTGTTTAAGGGCAACACCATCGTGAACAGTGAATCCCCTGTCTGCCATAACTAGATCCCCAGGAAGCAATTTGTTGAGCAGCCCACAATTTTCCGTGAGATACTTGTCTGAGGTGCGTCCCCCCCAGGCTTCTGAGACAAAGGAGATGCAGCCTTGAGGGGTTATGCCGATGAGGACCTTGACTGTGTTGTGGTGTTTGCCAGGAGGTTTGTCGGTTCTACACAAAAAACTTCAAAACAGTCAATAATGACGGTTGTCTTATTTCCAAACGAAAACTTAAAACACTGGGGCATGGTCTTCCAAAGTTCTTCCCTCTCTGGCCACCTGATCAGTGGGGACAACCGCACATCTATGATGACCAGCCAGTGTGCAAATGTCCTTGATGCTGTGGACATAGAGACTCCAAATCGGTAGGCCAAATCTTGGTGTGGAACATTGAGTCTCAATTTCATCAGTACCATAACCATCTCTTGAAATAAAGAAAGTGATTGTGTTCTTCGTTTGACATGGGGTACAACATGATTAAAAGTGGCTTCCAGTACTTCATATGTTGGCAAACCAGTGTAGAAAGACACTTTCCCGTTATCCTCTTTGAAATAATTTTTGTCAAAAGGCTTGCTAGTCACTGACTCAGCAAACAAGTAATCAAACTCTTCTGTTTGAGTTGAGGCATCACTTCGTGGACAGTCCTTGATGGAAAGAGATTCCACGGAGTGATATAAATAATCGAAAGCTTCTGTTTGAGTAGAGCATGTGCTGTGTGTTGCTTGCTCGTTGGGATCTGATTCTTGCTGGTCTGTAGGTTGCAAGTCTAAGTTCTCCACTTGGACTTGTTCTGAACTGGTACTTGCACTTTCGATCTCAGCAGCAAAATCAGCAAGGGGAACTCCAGGCTCATTTAATTTCTGCTGCTTCAGTAAACGTTCTTGTTCCTGTTGTTCCGCTTGACGTTTTCGCCTTTCCTTTGACCTCTCCGCTCGAGTCTCTCGCGATTGGGCTTGATGTTGTTCACTTTGCATCGCCCTTTTGTCATGGCCTAAATTGAGAGTGGGAACCCAGTCAACATTGTAACGATCCCACAAAGGAGCTGCAGTTCCAGAATGGAAATGTTGGTCGCAAACTTTATCGCTGTTCAAGATTTTATCCGTAAGATCAGCACGGCTTATTGCAGAGATCCACAATCGCCGTCGCTCGATACTCAATTCCTCAACTTCTGGGCCTTGATTTGTAATAATAGCGGGAACTCGATACAATCGGACTCCCTTACCTCGACCAGTCTTTCTAGAACAGCCAACGATCAGGCACATAGGCATTTTGAGGCAGCGGAATAAGAGAAAATCGCGTTTAAGTTCACGAGTTGGTGACTACGTGGTCAACACACTGGCCGCCATATTGGTTTTGGAACCCCAACATGGCGGATGAAAATGGCAAGTTGTACCGGAAGTCACGTGAGTGCAAGCCAAGAATTGTAAACGAGAGAAAAAAGGGTAACAATGGAATAGCAGTGATCATTGATAACATCTTTAGATAATATACCAAGTCAAAATGGTGCTGTGATGTTAAGGTGAGGTACGTAGCCAGGTTTAAATAAAACAGCAGAATTTGCAGAAAAGAACATCGCTGCTGTATGCACTTGACGTTGCACAGGGCACATAACACAAGACTGAGCATTGCCATTGGCTGAAAAATCTTCCAAAATAACAGAAACAGACATTGTAGGATCAGACGTGCACGCATACAGAGGATGAGTTCCCACATTGTAGTTTGTGCTCTGGCTTCTAACAGTTAACTTTCGGTCTGACTAGCCACACACATCCCTCCAATTACAAAGGGTTTCTTGATCCTTTTTTGCCATTTTAACAACTGCTGATTTGGGGATTCATGGCAACTCCGTAAATTGAAGGGGGAAGTTGATCAGGTCACTCGTAATGCAATCCATCGGCAGTGAAGTAGTGGTAAATATTGTCCCATAGGGGTCACTGCAATCAAAAGGCAAAACCATCTCAGCTGAAGAAGTGTCTTGACTATACGTTTTGCAGAATTAAAGAGAAACATCCCAAATATTTTAACAAGCTTGATTTCTAAAAGGTAGATCTCGAGAGAAAACAAAAAGAAATTCAGGAGCTTCAAAACCAAGCCAAAGCTATGGATGACTTTTCATAAGACAATGAACTTTAAAAAATGTAACCACTCGTTTGTATAACACAATATAACACAAACAAACCTAAACTCATGCAATATGAATGTATGCCTCATGCCTAAATTTCTGTAGTGAAAATATTCTAAAAATATGTGTGGGTGATGCCGAGAAGAGTAAAGTAAAGTAAAACTTTATTCACACAGGGTCGCCCATTCAGCTCTAAAGCTGGTCTCCATAGGGGCCCATAGGGGCCCTGTATCTAATTTACATCAAGAATTTTCATAACTATTACATTTAACAACCCTAAAAAATAAAATAATAAAATTTAAGAACTACATTAAAAAGCCCAAAAATACAATACAAAATCACATTTAAAGCCTAAAATAGAACAAAATATCAAAGTTATGATAGAAAGAAATGCCTTGCTTGGCGGCAGAACGTTTGAATGTTTTCACTCTTCACAATGTTTACAGGGAGTTTGTTAAAAATTTGTGCCAGTAAAAAGAGAGGTCCTTTCCCCAAAATTCTGTTTGACGTTTGGTAGGAATAGCCTCATACTTTGCCTTGTGGAATAATTGTGAAAGTTGGAAAATCTAGTAAAATATAATGAAAATAACTAGGAACTAATGAGTGACGACAGAGAAAAAAAGTTTAGCCAGTGGTAAGAACGTCTGCTCGAGAGAGTAGGCCAGTGCAGCTGCTCTATTGCTTCAGATAAGCGAGAGCAATGTGGGATAATCCGTGCAGATCTATTCAGTTAGGCGCTGTAGTTGATCTATATCTTGCTGTAGAAGGTTACTCCAGGCAATGTCACTGTAATCAAATAATGGAAGAATTAAAGCGTTGTGAACAAGTGTTGCTGCCTCTTTTGTGACAAAACTTCTAACACGGCCCAGGATACTAACTCTTGACACCACCTTTATACACACAGTCTGCGTGAGCCTTCAAAGCCAAAGTTGTCGAACACCACGCCCAGTTATTTAAAAGTAGTTTCGCAAGTTATGGACTTTCCGAGAAGATTAAGATTTAAAATGCAGTCACACTCTTTAAGCCTTTGAGATGTAAATGGTACACACTTAGCTTTTCAAACATTGAGAACAAGAATATTGTCTTCTAGCCATTCAGAATTAAAATAAAATTAAGTATTTCATAATTATAAAAGCACAAGATTGATTTTCTCAAGACCTTTCAATATTTACACAAAAACATTAAATTTATGACACAGATGTGTGTGAGAATAAGTCTGCCAGGAGCAGATGTTATCTAAAATGACACTCACTGACCGACATTATATTGGCAGATTAATATACACTAACCGGTACTTACAAAACAAGACAAACTAGAGACAAAAAAGAAACTGGCTCCGCGATCGCACAGGATTTTTGGCAACAAGCCGGAAGGAGTTCCAACTGATGTTGATGATATGGTCCGAATTTGCCCCAATACGAGAGGTAACAGAGCGTTCGAAAGATGCTTGTTTTTTTTGTCTGTTTTTGTCGGAAATTTATTTTGGGGGGAACAAAGGCTGTTTCATATTTCACCAGAGACAATTTTTGCTTCATCATTATCAAAAAACCTTTATAAAGATTAGATATTATTTTGTTCTCTTGCATTTAGGTGTACAATGGAGCATATAGAAGACCAACCTCAGATAATGTAACTCGGGTGGAAGAAAAAAAAACACAGACACCCGTTATAACCGTGCTGTGTTCCACCACTGCAGTCTCAAACATCAAATCACATCTCTTGAAGAGACCACTGTTATGGAAGATCAGCTAGCGGAACTGTCTGATGGTTAATCTTGCCTAAATCTAATCATAACCCAAGAAATCAAGCAGCTGATGAATGCTTACAGATTCTTCAGGCAGGAGGTGAAGCACGAAATTAGACTTGCCGAGAAATTCCACATGTGCACAGAACTCCACAATAGCAAAGAAAATTCGAATCCAATTTGGAATGGAAATGAAAAAAAGGGGGCCTTTGAAAACAGATAACCCATTGAATTTAATACGTACAGTAAACACATTTTATTCATCAGTTGGTAAAATCACCGCAGATAAGGCAATGCACCTTGCCAAAGAACATGGGCTTCTCTAAAAGTAGTCGTGACTCGCAATTGGGCAAATAACGTCCAGAAAAAACAACCCTCAAAGTCAAAGTTCCAAAGCTTTTGCTTCTAAGAATAAGGAGTCAGTTTATGTTCACTGCGTCTGCAAGGAGAACTTCACTCTCACTTTGAAGGATTTTACATGTATTTCGCTTATCTGTCATTACATTCAAGCCAGTTTTGTGGATGCAATGGATGAATGAAAAAGAGCTCTCCTCCCTGGGACTGTGGTAAATTCTGCTGTAGATGATTTATTTGCTGGACACTGTCCAGCGTTGTTCGTAAGATCCCTTCTTTCCTTTTTCGTCTTCAGGTGTGGATGATTCCTAATTTTCTTTCTCATTCCAAATTTCACCATGTTACAAACCCCTTGTCATTCTACACATCTCGCAGGTGTGCAAGTGTTAAATAATACGGCAAAGTATGGATAATGTCCCACTGAGTGTTCCCCCAGCCATGAACCTCTTGTCATTCTTTACTTAGTTCCACACTTCTGTGTGGAAGTGTGGAACAGTCCGACAAAGTCAGGATAATGTAAAAACTTTTCCCCCAGTCCCGAACCCCTTGTCATTCTCCGATTCAGAGGAAGTGGAGTATTTCCCTTTAACGTTTTCAATAAAAGGGTCATTCTGGGCGACCAGATATCAGGATGCCCTGAAAAAGGCTGTGGACCTAAAAGCTAATGGGGTTTATGTCCCTTTCAGAGCCTCCTTTCAACTGAGCAAGACTTCGACAGTGCAGTTTGGCTGGTCATTGGGTACTGTGGAAATGATAAAATTACCAAGCTTCCAAAAGCAATAAAAAGGGATGAAATCACATCTTGTTAGCTCTGTTGTAATAGAAGCAAGTGGATTCCAAAGATCAGTGAATTTAGGTTTATGCTGGTGTGGCTATTACTAAGAAAGACAGGTGGGGCAGAAATGATAACAACAATCAGTGTAACAGTGACTTGTCATTTCTCCTTCAAGGTTGAGCTTGAAAGTTATAGAAATCGTTAAACATGAAGATGCTACAAATTAAACTCCTTGTACCTTGATTTGTGTTGCATATTTGGTGGGTTGATTTCAAATTTCCATGCTCCCCCCCCCCCCACCACCCTTTTCATTGCTTTATTTCTCCAAGCAGCTTCCACTAAAACTATTTTTTAAAACACAAATGGCAAAAACGTGCCTCGAAACATTTTAGAGGGCATTTCACTTTATGACAAGCAAAATTCATTAACTATCATTATATAGTGAAGCCTGTATTTGGCCAACATCCATGGGAACATAACTAGTGTCTACATAAATGGAGGTTGCCTCTATCACAAGTCTTAGGAAGAGTGATGCACACGTCTGTCATACTTCTTAATCTCAAGTCGTATTAAACAAACCGTGATTACTTTATTCAGGTTTCACTCTATTATTGTACCAAAAATATTTTTATACCTAAGAAGGTGCTTTCATTAGTTAACATTTCTCGATTATTCCATTCTCCTTAATCTAAATTACTTTACAAATATATTGAATGGTAACAAACTTGAAATTACTTCACAAAATAAACCAAAATGCGCCCAAGTTGTTGTGAAGCTTTCACAACTATACACGATATGACATCTCATATCATCCCAACAATTGAAATTTCCAGACCAAAAGTGTCTTCTCAGAGTTTTAGAACCGTCTAAAGCATCATTTTAGAATCAGTAAACGAACCTTTTTTCTTTTTCATTTCAGAAAAACAGCCTGCTTTGAAGAGGGCTCAGACGTTACCTCCTCAGACAGTGACCTGCAACATTTCAGCGATTATGCGAACAGTTCTGGTAGTGAAGCACAGGAGCAATATTCTAGTGAGGATGATAATGGTGATTTGCCAACCACTGAGATAAACACTGAAAAGAAACAAGATGACCTTGGCATAAGCAAGCAGATTAAGGGCTGCTGATATTATAAGCATAGTGCAGATACAAATTATGGCATGGCTAGTGTAACAGAACCATCAGGAGAAAGCAGAATTCCAAAGTGCACAGGGTGCACAACACGTATAGAGGACCACTACTGAGGCATCCAAGTAAAATATTGTGGGGGCTTTGAAAAGTTCTTCCCAAAAAGGGAAATTAATGACACCTCTCCTACAATGGAGGGCACAGTCATCGCTGACTTGACAGCCAAATTAGAGGCTTTGGAGCGTCAAGAACAGGGATTGTTGTGCCAGGAGGAAGAAAACCACCTAAGGAGAAGAATTTCAAATAAACCAAAGGCCATTGAGGATCTCGGACAAGCCAGTTTCAAAAATCTTCCCAGAAAGATCTACCAAAGGTGGATTCAAGCTGTCCTGAAAGCAGAACTCCCCTGAACGATCTCTTGGCTAGTTGGGATGTTGCGCCTTCACAACCAGCATTATCTACAGAAAACACAGGGTCCAGAGGAGATGTGTTTGTCGTTAGAACATCAAAACCCGTTGAAAACATCTGAAAAAATGGGTTTTTGATCGCGTTACAGTTTCGTTACAAAATCTGTATACCGCAAACCAAGAGACTGAGGGCTCGCAAGATCGGCTTACAGTATAAAATACGGAAAGGGAGGAAACAAATTTGGGAACAATTTTCAAATCCCTGAAACTCGAATGGAATTGAATGAAATCGCCTGATTTTACTAACCTGATCTAGAATTGTTCTGTATTTGCCAAAAAGCGTTCAAATTCATTTTCAGCGACCGAAATTTACAGCTTCGAAATAAGGCTTTCGTTAGCTGTGCACCGCAACAGATGGTGACGGAAATGACGTAATAAAGTAAATGTGCGCAACATCGGAAGTAATTTTAAGAGGATTGCCATGTGCAATCGCTTGAATTTATCAGTCACATGGAAAGATTTTCCCAGTAACAAGTATGATTTCGCGGAATTTTGGCAAAGATAGGAGATTTTACGAAAAGAGAGTTAAGCGCTTTTGTTTTTGTCCACTTCTAGTTCAAGGTTAAAGGTTTTAGTTATTGTTGTGTAGCAGTGTCAATTGATGGCCTGCGAGGCTGTTTCAGATGGCTATTCAGCTGATCCTGATGACGTCAATAAGAGGTGAGACTGATGTTTTAGCTTATTTTTCACGTGAGGATATTTTTCAGAAGATGCCTAGTCAACACTTTGAGTGAGTGGCAGTGAAGGGAAGGTTGATGTTGTACACATCACGTTATAGAAAGTATCTGAAATGTTTTTGATGGAAAAAGATTGCCAAGCTTGAGTTGGCCCCAGATAGACAAAGAGCTATTGTTTATGTTGATTCTATTGCTCGTTCGTCGTTTGTGCTTATTTCAGTGGTTCACTGTCTATTTCTTATTTAAAAACCTGTGTTGGCTTACACGTATTTTTTTTTCGTTTTTTTAATTGATAACGGTATTCCATTGGACAGCTGAGCGGACATGCGAATGTGTTTAAATTTAAATTCTTTAATCTTTTAGTTAATATGGAAATGTGCTTTCTTCTATCTTGCCACGTTCTTTTTAAGAGGAGTCTTAATTGATAAAATTGTCGATGTAATTGTATACTTTATCATGTTGTTCGTTGGAAAAAAACAAGCTGATGCAGTGAATTTTTAGTATCAGAAATATGATGCTTTTTTCTTTCTTATACAGTGCTGCTTGCAACCTCAGTGAACAACAGCAAATAATTTTGGATCTAGTGAGCAAGGGACACAATGTATACTTTGATGGGATAGCCGGCTGTGGAAAAACCTTTTGTTGCTCGCCAAATTTTGGAAGTCTTAACTAAGAAAAAAATAGAGATTGCCTGTACTTGCACAACAGGAATTGCTTGTGCTCTATATGAGAGGTGTTCAGCAAGGACAATTCATTCCTTTGCTGGGATAGGTCAGTGCCGAGGGTCAAAGGAAATGTTGTTGAGAAATGTCCTGGCAAACAACGAATGTGTAAGGAGATGGAGAGAGACAGAGGTACTCTTTATAGATGAAACTTCTATGTTGAGCCAAAGAATTCTCGAAATCATAAATTATGTGGCTCAAAATGGTCGTATCTCAGAGTATCTTTTTGGGGGGCTCCAGCTTGTGGCCTTTGGGGATTTTTTACAGCTCCCTCCTGTGCCAAATACTGTAGACGATGGAAAATATGCCTTTGAGAGTACTGTGTGGGATCTGACTTTCCCTCATCAAGTAATACTGGAAGAAAGTTTCCGTGCTCAAAATGATGAGGAATTCATAAACCTTTTGAGGGAAATTTCCAGGGGTCAGTGCAGTGAGCAGTCTGCAGAAATAATTCAGAGTCTGTCTAGGCCACTCAATCCAAGTGATTTTGGACTTTCATATATTCCAAAGGTGTACCCTCTGAATGAGGATGTAGATTTTGCAAATATGTGTGTGCTGGAAACTTTACCTGGTGAGCAGATTCTGTTTGAAGCAACTGATGTTGGAGACAAGAGGCTTTTGAACAAAGGACTAATTGCAAGAGAGAAGTTGGTGTTAAAGGTTGGGGCAAAAGTGATGTTTATTTATAATCTAAATGACGGGATTAAAAATGGTGTTCAAGGCACCGTGACATCATTTTTGAATGGCCTTCCAGTTGTAACTACTGAATCAGAAAGCCTCTTAGGGGACAGAATAATTGTTCCCCAAGAGGAAGAAGAGACTTTGGGCAGCCAAGGGAACGCTAAAATTGTAGTCTCTTATGGGCCTAAGAAACCCAAATTTGAATCAATATCAATCCGTCAGTGGGAAGTGGCAAAGGAAAATTGCCAACTCCTTCAGCTATTCAAGAGTATTTTGCTAGTACTGTTAGGATAAGGAGCTAATAGCTAGATATGAAAAGAAATCAATAATTGTGCATAATAATTATCATTATGCACAACAACGAATTTAGAAAATTGCTGGCTATTTATAAATTTTCCTGGAGTTTCGACTCTACTTATTTGCATACAGTTTTCCTTCACCCATTTACAAACCTAACCCACCCACGATCACTTCTAACCCATCACCACCTAATACTCTCCAGTACATCACCTTTGTAAGATCTACACCCGAGGGCAGGGTTATCTGTCATAATTTTAACGGGCCAAAGGGTTGTTCATTTCGTCATTGCAATTTAGCTCATGTTTGTAATTGCAAGGTAGCTAGGAAAGCTTGTGAACTTTCCCACCCTGTGTTCTCTCAAATAAAGGCTGTCGAGTTCCCAAGCAAACAATCTCCTTAATTACAACCCCTGCAACATAGTCCCGTAAAATGTAATCTTTGGCATCTACAATTGAGAGGTGATGAAGGTAATACATTCCTCCGCGATAGCATATGCAGTGGCATTAAATTGCTGCATCCTGGCATGTGCTTTTCTGATCTTTATGTGGCTTATTATAACTTAGTGATTACTCCCACAATCAGAACCTTGGTGGAAAAAGTTATATGGGATGAGATAGCATTTAGCAATTATGTTTCACCTATTAAACCATGCATTGTACGTGCTTTAGGAGCTATTCCTAAACCCAGTTCTTCCAAAACAAGACTTATCTATAATTACTCTTGCCCACATGGGCAGGTGGTGAACGACTACATCACCACCAATTCATTTGGATTTCAAACACTTGAAAAGAATGCCTGGATTGAGAGCGTTTTGCTTGAAAAATGGGTTTGAAAAATCAACAGCAAGATGAAAGTAGCTAATCCGCATATCCTGCTGTTTATTAACAACTGCACGGCACACGTCAGTTCTGGGCCTCAAAAACACAAGATTAATTTTCTTCCTGGCAAAATGCACAAGCAAGCTTCAGCCGACAGACCACGGAGTAATACAAAATCTGAAAGTCCACTATCGCCACACAGTAATACAAACAATGCTGCAGTACTTGGATATTTATCGGTTTAAAAACAGCTAGACGATTGGTCAAATTCAAAAGACAACGCCTTACTTAGAACATAAATTTCTTTGCAGAGCTTGCCCGAGCAACATTTTAAATTTTAAAAAATGATCCACGTGAATGGTCAGTGTAACCAGGCAGGAAGGGATTACATCATGAAAGATTTTATGGAAGTTTTGTTAAACCCTGATCCACAGGATTCGTTTTTAGGCATTTTTGACGGCCATGGGGGCCCAGAAGCGGGCGATTTCGCCAGGAACCACTTGTGACATCCGTAAAGGCCAGATTAGAAGCAATAGAGGCTGGAATTCTTGTTCCATTTCCTCAACCTGAATTTTCACCCATGTTGATAGCCTGTTCTGTTTCATACCCCCAATTCGCCACAGAATCCCCACTGCAGCATTCCCAACCCGAAACATCAACCCTCGCCGACACACAGCCAACACCACTAACGCCAACTCACCTTCCGCAAACTCTACCGAGCATCTCACCAATAATTGTATCCAGCCTACCAGACGAAACTGCAGTTAAGCTCAAGGAAAGCAGAATGAAGTCAACAACACGAAAGAAGTATACACAGAAATGCTTAGGGGAGATTTTTACTCAAGATGAACTTGTTGCTTCCAACTTGAGTGGCACCAAGGATAAACAGAAGTTAAACAAGTGCAAGATTAGATCGATTTTCAGCGAGTACATTATCAAATCAACTTCATGATCAATCCGAGTTAAAGATAGCAGACAATTTATTCAGATTATTGTTGGTATCACTGATACCGTGTAAAAATAATAACCTTTCTAGGTTTTAGGCCAAGACAGAACGAATTTCTAGCATTTCAACTATTTAAAAAAGCAATGAAAAGCTGATAAGCACCATGCGATTTTATTTTGCTGGTCAAGTTAATAATCATCCCTCCTCTTCATTTAGAATTAGAAAGTCTGGTACTTGTCGCATTTCCTCTTATGGAAACTGAAAACTAAACGCAGGTGCGCAAGGAGATAGCAGCTACAATATAGATGAAGTGCAGAGAAGTGAAAAGAGATAGACAGTCTCTACAAACCAGTCACACTTCTTAATTTTTGCATTATTCATGAATGACAAAAACAAAAAATTATGTCCCAAACATAATTACATTTTTGCGTCGGGATACCTGTTGTTATCAGGCACTGGCTGCATGAACTGGGTACTAGGGAACATGTCATCGAGGATTGCTTTATTGTACATTGCGCAAATACGAGGGCCCTTTTCTACCTCTACACCATCGTGTGGCAAGTTATCTGTTCAAATTTTTCAGGCAAGTTCTTTTGTGTTTTTCTTTTTTGTCCGTATGGAACAGCCGAGGGTTCTGATTTTGGGTCACTCCTTTATACGTAGGCTCTGGGATTTTATTATTGGGAATAGTACCACATATAACTTTAATTAAAACATTAATACCCCAGTTACAATTCATTGGCAGGGCGTTGGGGGTCGAACAATCGATAAGGTTAGGTGGTTTGATATAACCGAAGTGGAACATTTTAAACCTGATGTTGTAATTTTACAAATCGGTACTAACGACCTCACACGCCGTCGGTCCTCACCAGCATCTGTTGGCTCTGCCATCGAGGATTTGGTCTGTTTAATTCATAATGAGTACGGGGTTTGCTTAGTTTGTGTCGGTCAGGCCGTTAAAAGGCACCCGGTTAGGGCATTCAATGCAAACGTACAAATCCTGGCGCAGTACCTTCAAGGGGTCTTAGAACCGCTCCCCTTTGCCATATATTGGACGCATCGGGGACTTTGGCAGGCTTCCCATTCATACTTGTCATACAATGGTGTCCACTTAAATACAGAAGGGCAGCATAAACTGTACAGGAGTGTAAGGGGGGCAGTATTGCATTGCTTAAAACGCATAAAAACATAAGGAATTTCTCGCCCAACCAGTTTTAATTTTTGGCAAGTTCATAGCCTTAGACAAGGATTTGCGTTAAGTGGGCTTTTGGTGTCTTTCTATGTTCTGTCCATGTGCTTTTGTTGCAATTTAATAGTTACTTTGGGATTCCGTGCATTCCTGTGTGATGCCCATCCCTGATTTATGTCAATCATGGTCTTTGGAATTTGTTGCGTTATGTTGCCTGAGTGACAACCAAATCCGGCCGTCGTTGACGTGCCCAATTCACTCCAGCTATTAACACTTTTACATGTGTCTTTATAGATACCTATGTGATCGGCCCGTGACTGACGCTCTCACATCACATATGATGAAATACGATTGTTGTAGCTGGTTAATGGGCATCCTGCATGTTTTAATTAGCGTACAATGCATTCTGCCCCCTTGATTCTCCTTGTTGTCTAATCCCGACTTTGCCTATAACATGTCCGAATTAACTCTAGCTAAGTGTTATAGGCCTTATTAATCAGCATGCCGCCACGAAGGAAATTGCGACGAACAGCAGGACCGGCAGATGATACCATCAACGTACAATTTGTTCCTGACCCGGTCGAAATCCCCCCTCCCAAGCGGCCGTTGAGCCGTCTACATCTGGTATGGGATTGGAGGGCCTTTCCGATGCATTGGTTTCATCTGTTGTAGCTGCAGTGAAAACGGCGATACAGTCGACCAACGCGGCCCCACCATAATAAATTGACATAATCAAAAAATTACCTTTTGTCACATATTTTTGCAAACTTTATAGCTTTCTCTTTTCATTTTTCTGAAATCCTCCGAGATGCTGAATAGCTGAACTTTTACCAGTTTGAAGACCTGAAGCCTATCATCATTCAACTTTTAAACAATGACGTGAAAGCTTTCGTTCAAATAGTAAAAACGATGACCTTTCCTCACAAAACAAGACACTGACTTTCTAATAAATCACACCAGCCCGCAGCCAATGCCAGTATCCTGTAGCGTTAAGTTTATGTCATGGCTCATTATTATCTCCCATTTTAATTTTATTTTCCTACATTTCAAACTCATTATTACACATTAACATCACCTAAAAACAAAGGAAAAAATTTGAACCAGGGATAAAACTGAATCACAACAAGTCCGACTACAGTATTTGCAATCTATGACACAAAACAATTTAAATACCAGTTGGTGGACGAAACGTGGATACTCAGTCACTGTGTATTTACAAAGTTTCGTACACCACTTTCAGGGATACAGCTTCATTGCATGGTATTCTGTACCTACTACTCCCACAATTCAATTAAAAAGTTGCTCTTTGCGATAATGAAATGTGTAAACCATGCAACTCCCCATGTTGCGCTGTTTCTCGTCACAAAACTCCATCTGCCCAACCCTACACGATTAATTGTGTGCCTGTTTAGCATGTTTAGGATATCAAAAAGGTTCATAATTTTACAGAGAATTCTGTGATCAAAAATTTCAATAAGGTAAAAATAGAAATCTCTTGAAAGTCAAAGTCCATATAATGTAATTATTTAGTCTTTCGATCAGTTAGTGCTGACTTTTTTTTCAGAGAGAGGGCAAAGTTCTTCACTTTGCGCCGATTGAAATGCAATAGTCGTTCTAAGGACAAGACTAAAGTATTTACCCGCATCAAACAACACTGTAGACTTCCACATTTATTCACGACCAAAAAGAGATTTTTCTGGATGTATTTTTTATTAAGTTTATCATTAGTAAACACCATGCGATTGTCACGAGGCAAAAACGACATAAAGGAAAAGAAAACATACCTATGCTTTGAATCATCAAGTTTCACATACAGGCAGGTTCTTTACGACTATGCCAATTGTTACATGTAGAGATTGTACTAAAAACAAACAACCGGAAGCGGAAACGAGTCTTGTGTATGACGTATTCATCCAGGTTATCAAAAAGAGAGCGCGAGCTGAACGAGTGACGACAGAAAAAGAAACGGAATAAACGTGTGAAGCATGTGAAGTGTAAAGAAGTTTTACGGTTTATTTGTGGACGCATGAAACAAGGGTAACGTCGACAACTAACCTGTTCGTCCTCTTTTTCTCAAGCAGAGCAAAGAGTTGATACCTTCAACTCCCTTGGAGAAACGTTATCAAGTTTACAAGACTAAAACAGTCTTGAAAGCAGAAAGACAATGAATCAAGACCAAATACAAACAACAGTAGCATAACTTAGGACGCTTAAATTCAGAAGACGTTACAATGGAATGCTGATTATAGTAAAACAGCCAAGGGATGTGCAGCTGCTCCTTCATGAATGGAATAGCCTGTCAGTTGACAAGGATGGGATACTCAAATCCTCATTCCAAAAAAACTGCGCTCACTGATTCTTAAGGAGTTGCATGAGAAAATGGGTCATCTCGGAGCGGATTGCACTTTACACCTAGCCAGAGAGCGCTTCTATTGGCCACACATGCAGAGCGACATCGAGCACTATATTGGGCATGTCTGTCAATGTGTTAAACGTAAACCTCCGACTCTCAAGATCAGGGCTCCATTACAACCCATCACCACTACTGCACCATTCGAACTGATTGCTATCGACTTTCTCCATCTGGAGAAGAGCAGTGGAGGGTACGAATATATTCTTGTTGTGATGGACCACTTTACTCGCTATGCGCAAGCTTATGCTACAAAGAACAAGTCAGCCAGAACAGTCGCTCAGAAGCTTTATAATGATTTCGTCCTTTGATTCGGCTTTCCTTTAAAGATTCACCATGACCAGGAAGGAGAGTTCGAAAATCATCTTCACCGAGAGCCAGAGAAGTTGTGCGGCGTGGGACACTCCCGAACCACCCCTTATCATCCACAAGGGAACGGACAAGTTGAACAATTCAACCGCACTTTGTTGAATATGCTCCGCACCCTACCAGAGACACAGAAATCACGATGAGCAGATCACCTTAATCAAGTCGTACATGCACATAATTGCACGAAGAACTAGGCTTTCACTGGTTTTTGGTCTCTCCTTTGGCATTTTATCTGAATATATAGCTATTTGGGGCAAATGAAGGGAGCGCCACCAAACAACGCTATGATCATCATGTCCGGTTCAGTGTTGCACCCGGAGATAGAGTCCTTGTCGAACCTGAGGTAAACTTTGCTCGCACTGGGAAGACCGAATTCATGTGGTGATTAGTCGTAAAGGTGAGGACAGTCCAGTCTATGAGGTCCTGGTGGAACACGAATTTACACAGAAACCTGTTGTTGCCATGTAACCATCTACCAGTAGATGTTGCAGGACCCCTCAGGAAGTAACAAATCAAAAACCCAGTGTACCAGGCTAGAGCTGTTGTGCAATCACTTACCAATGACAGTGTACCGTTACCATCTACTGCATATGCCCAAGGTCCTCCTCTTGCGTGGCAAACAAGTTTACCAGCTACCTGGCAGCCCCTACCACCAATGACCATGCAGCCGTTTCCCTCATTTCATTATCCAATGATCTTTGGCTACCAGGGGATGCCTCCAGCAAACTTTAGTTACCCAGCGAAAGTTGGTTGCCATGGACTATATCCAGTGACCTATGGACACATGCAAATGCCAAGCCCTACATTCTAAGACTGCTGTTCGACAAAAAAAAAACCTTAGTTTCGTTTTGTAAAAAAAAAAAGGACAAAAAAAGACACCGTCAGAAATAAGTAGAACTTTAAGGAGGGTGAGCCCTCAGGATAGGAAACGTTACCAGAACACTGAATGGCTGCAGCCTTTATGGATTATTGGTACCGATGTAACTACGTAGAAGATGAAATGAGTCAAAGAATCCGGCTTATCAAAAAGAGAGCGCAGGCTGAACGAGTGACAAGAGAAAAAGAAACGGAATAAACGTGTGAAGCATGTGAAGTGTAAAGAAGTTTTACGGTTTATTTGTGGACGCATGAAACAAGGGTAACAAATGGGGTACATTTTTTGAGATAAATGATTTTCAAAACAGACAACAACCCTTTCATATGAGCGTGAAAAGTGATCATAATGTCGCTATCACCACACTGGAATGTAATTTGAAGCAAGACAGAACCCTCGCATGGTTTTCTAAGTAAAAGTTCTACTAATCATGCGATAATTGAACTTCTTGATAAGATAACAAAAACCATAAATTCACTGTCAGGTTAGTGCTTGATTTACCAAAAGCATTTGACACGGTAAATCATAATATCCATTAACTTTATTTCTATGGTTTTCGTGGCAAATTTCATGCTTGAATAAAAAATTACCTTTCCAATAGAAAACAAATTGGTAAATATAAGAGAAGGTCAACAGAAAAAAAGTTACTTGTGGGGTCCCACAAGGTTCTATTCTTGGACCGTTAGTATTATTAAAATACATTAACGACCTGAACAACTCAACCAGTAAACTATACACTATTTTATTTACTTGGTTCAGGAAAAGACAGGGGCGGACCTTTAGAAAAGTTATGGGGCAGGGGGGGCAACAAAGTGCCCCAAAAAATTCATGCATGCAGAATAGACCAGGAAAAACATTCCTGCCTTGGCCTTCCACACATTTTGCACAAATCTCAAGAAGGCATGGAAGAAAGCGTACTGTGTGCAAAACAACAGCTCTCTGAATACATGTCCTACTCAATTTTGGTCTAGTAAATAATCATACCTGATATAAAAAAATATATCTGAGGCTTGTAAGCTTATACACTATAGAGGAGCTATAACCATCAAGGGCACCTGGCATTACTATGATGAACTATGGGAGAGGCACAATAAAGGCCAGGGACTTAAAAAAATGTGTGGCAAATGTCTCATCTACTCCTACTGGCTTTCTCCTATCTCACTGTGCTCATATCGCATCAGATCTTTTAGAGTGGTTCAACATAAATTATTTTATGTATCCTTTAAGAATGCCACAATAGACTTAATAATTATTAATGAGAATACACTCTCTTTGTATAATATCATATGAATGCCTTATTTTGTGGACAGTGATGAACTAACATTGGCAACTTTCATGTTTCAGCCTGAAACATTCCTGCCATGACTTGTTGTAGGCAATGCTGTTTACAGGTAAAATGTCAGCAATGCAATATGAACTTACGCAGTACCAATGTACCTGCAATACAGGATACCTGGTGTATAAAAGGCCTTTGTGAACTGTAGCTCAATTTATTTTCGCATACGTGCCCAGGTAGCCCATATTTCAATCATGCCCTTGGCTAAGTGAACAACTGAATGATTGACTGATTTAATATTTTTTTTAGTTTAGTGTTACTTTAAGAAAAAAAATATTCGTCCACAACATCTCGACAAAAAAATATATTCATTCAAGTGAAAGAGTAAAGAAAAAAATTCCTGGCGCTCGAAGATCCCCCCCCCTCACCCCCATAACTTTTCTAATGGTCCGTACCTTAAAAGAACTGGAATTGTTAATAAATGAGGAATTAGCTCATGTCCAAGAATGGCTAATGCTAAATAAACTGACTCTTAATGTAAAAAATCAAATTTCATTATTTTCAAATCTCACAAAAGGAAGCTGACAAAACATCTGAGTCTAAAATTAAACAATGAGATATTACAGTGCATACACTTTCATAATGGCAGACCGCTCGGGCGGAATGGTAACTACTAACATCACAGCGAGGCTAGTTAGGCCAGAAAGGTCATCAACATGGCAACCGCTACGACAACACGTGTCGCAGTTCTTACCGAAGAGGATATCCCTGGTGCTTCTTTGCATGGATGAAAACCATCTGAACTTAAAAATGATGAGTTGAAGTTCTGGTTACGGTGTAGAGGTGATCGGGCAAAGGGACTTAAGACGAAAGCGGAGCTTGTGAAAAGGTAAGGAGTCGGTTTGTTTACAATGCAATCGGTTTTTTTACTTCTATTCTTTTCTCGACAAAATTTATTTTTTCAATTCCTTCGCTTGACATGTAACTCTATTTTCAGAGTTGAAGAGTATATTACCTCTGGAAGAGACAAAACCATCGTCGATCCTGAGCCGACCGGATTATATACCAAGAGAAAACAGCAGATCGCAGATTCATTGAATACAGATCCGGTCGGCAAGGTCGATGTTGTGAATTACCCAGAAAGTGGATGGGGTAATTCGCTGGAAAAAATGCCGATGTTTACCCGAGCAGAAATGAACGAACATATTGCAAGATCGGGTAAGAACATTGGAAATATTCATCACCATTCTGTGCCAACAACACTTCGCAAAACAAAGACGTTTCTTGAAGATTAATATCTTCACGAAATCATGGCAACCTGTGATGAACACTGCTTTTATTTCAAAGCAAAATGCTGCCACAGTTACAGGAAAAACGACCCGCCGCATCAGCTAAAATTGGCCTTGTGTATTGTTAAGGGTGACGTTCTCAATTCCACTTGTACCTGTGTGGCTGGAAAAGTGGGATTTTGTAATCACACATCAGCGCTAATGCTGAAACTTTGCAAATTCAGTCTATATGAAGCTAAAACTACGAGGGACTTACAAAAAGACGCAGACGAGAATCCGCAAGTAGCATGTACTTCCCAGCTTCAATCCTGGAACAAGAAAGGTGGAGGCGAAAATTTAGTAGCTCAACCTGTCATGGAGGTTGTGGTAAAAAAGGCCAAACTGGATGAACCAAGCACCTCACGTTGTGGCGGTGGTGTGAAATGCTTATTGTATGAAGCCAGAAGACAACCACAACATGATCTGGAAAGAGAGAAGGCTTTTAAATCTGAACTTTCAGGAATTGATATGAACAAAGAAAAAAACCTAGCTTTTGAACTGAGTGATACTAAATTTGGCAAAAGTCCTGTTGGGTCGTTCTTGAGTTATCAAACTTCTTTCACAGAATCGAATTTCTCTACTCAAGCGAATCTAGCCTCAGTTCAGAGAGTAAATGATGTTGCCATGGACCTCACTCATTATCCTCGCTTTCCTATGACAAATGAGGAGGACATGACCACACCTCGGGAGCTCTCAGATTCTGAGAAGAACTTGCTGTCTACTCTAAATGTGGATGAAGACAAAATCCATGAATTCGAAAGCAAAACAAGGGATCAATCAGCATCTGAAATGTGGAAGCAAGAACGCACCTATCGATTTACTGCCTCTAACTTCCAAGCGATTACCAAGAGGAAAAGGAATCATGATACCTATGCACAGTCCATCATGCACCCAAAGCCATTTTCCTCGAAATATGTTGCCCAAGGCATTAAGTATGAACCCATCGCTCTTCAAGAGTATCAGAAATTCATGTTCAACCAGAAAACACCAGTAGCTGTTTTAAAGGAGTGGATTTGTCATATCAAAAAGTAGTCCAGTACTAGGTGCCTCGCCTGATGCAAAAAATTTTGGATAAAGGATGTGTACATTGCTTTGGTTTGGGAGAGGTAAAGTGTCCCTACACCAAGTTCCATGTAACACCCTTGGATGCATGCTCTGATCCCAATTTTTTTATGGAGAATATAAATGACAAAGAGTGCAGACTGAAAAGGGATCATGCATACTATGCACATGTGCAAGGACAAATGGGGATAACTGGAAGCAAGTGGTGTGATTTCATTGTTTATACCAGCAAGGAACTGTATGTGGAGAGGATAGCCTTTGATCCTGACTACTGGAAAAACTTACAAACTGAACTTTTAACTTACCATTTTTTACACTTCATTAAGTTTGCTGCTGAGGACTATCAGAAAAATGCAGTAGATAATTAGCTATTCAATGCCCTTTGATTGTATATATTGTAGGCTTTTCAACTTTTTTGGTGGCAATTCAGTAATTAATTTACTTATGTCTTGTTACAGTATCACTACTCCAAACAAGGCCACCCAAGAAAAAGCTTTCCAAATTGTCCAATAGTATTGGAGTGTGAAAGCAATACAAATGGTTCCAATTTATTACTTTTGAAGCACACAACTTGCATAAAATTATTATTTGTGGGAAATCTGTTGTTGGCACTGCAGGATTTCATTCGAGTATTTCCACTGGCAGAATTTGGTTGGGTGGTCTTAGTTGGAGTAGCTGCACTGTAACTGGGAGGAGATTGATTCTCCACACCCTTGTGCCAATATACACAAGTTATTCTTAATTTTGTCCATGTGCTTGTTCCTTTTTATGAGAGACTATTTTAGATTTAAAGACAGTTCCCTTGCTTAATGGTGTACATATTTGTGCGGTACAGGCAATTGTAGTGTTGATCATAGGACAGAAATTGTTGTCAACAAAAATATTTTTTACACTGCCTGTAAATGTAAGTCACATGTTATTTGATATTTTTTAATGAAAAATGTAATAAGAAGCATGCATGGCACCACAATGTTATTTCTTTTGAATAAAAAAAAACTGAGGAAATATTTATATTGACTGCCAATAGCAGGGAAACTGTCTGGTTTGATTTTGAGCTGATATACACAGGAATAAAATGTCACACAATTTTAAATTGGATCACATCTTTTTTCTTATGTGAGTGGAGACCGGTAGGAGTAATAGCCACTTTACAAACTGAAAAACAACAATAACAAAATAGTATCACCCCCTGGGTATTCGGTTGTCTACACATGTACATAATTTTGGACCACTTAAAGCTAATGTTATAGTGATATTCAAAGAATAGTTCTTGTCCCAGTTTATTCAAATAGAAATAATGTTTGGTTGAGCATTACATAAGATTGCACAGACTGCCCACATTTGATTGACAACCCCAAACTGATGGAGGGGCACAACTCCATCCCAAATGTGAAAATTCTTGATTTTGTTTATAGCACGCTCAACATGAATTCGCAGGCTTGAAATTTCCTGAGTGCGAACAACATCTTGTGCTGGCATTTGATTTGAGCTGCCAAGAAAGGGAGGAATGTTCAAGGAAACTCCTAAAGGTAACAAGTCATCGATTGTAAATCCTTTGTCTGCCATGACTGAGTCTCCATCTTGCAATGGCAAATCCAACAATCCACTTCTGACAACAATCTCTCTGTCAGAGATGCTGCCAGTATACAGCTGGCTGATGAAGGTTATTGCACCCCCAGGAGAAATGCCAATTAATCCCTTCAGGGTTGTGTGGTGTTTATAATTACTAAACAGCTCCCCATTTAAATGCAAACTACTGGGCATTTGACACCTCACCTCTGTACAGTCGATAATAACTCTTGTAGAACTATATTTTTGCTTGAAATCTTCAGGCATTGTCTCATTAATTACTTGCCTTGTTGGCCAAATGTTTAGTTGGCCTAGCCTCAAATACATGAAATTTATCCAGCTGATAAAAATCCGACTAACTGTTGAAGTGGATATGTCAAACAGATGACTTAAGTGCTCCTCAGGAAAGCCTTGTCTGAGTCTACACATCACAAGGAAATATTCGTCAAAAGGCCTCAATGACCTACTTCTGCCTTTCTTGCTTCCATTAGCTGCCACCTCCTCATAAACGCTGGCAGATACATTTTTCCTTGAAGACAACCAGTATGTGATGTTTTCACCCATATCACCAGGATTCAGGTATCTAAAAACAGACATAAATACCTTCCAGTTTGGAAATCCAGTATAAAAATGGATTGACGCATCACTGCTTTGAAATCTTTTAATAGTGAAGACTTGGTTTTGCAAAGATTCAATACGTCAATTAGCTCTTTCAAGATTGGATTCAAGGTCCACTATTTGTTGTGTCAGCGAGGTCTCAGTGCCTTCCTTTGGTTCTGTGGTTTGAGTCTCTGCGTCCATTTTCAAGTTTTCAGACAGGATGCTTTCCACAGTTTCCCTTTCTTCTATGCGATTTTCCCCTTCATCTACGCAGTTTTCTGAGTTTTCTGGCTCGTCATTCGTTCCGGTTTCTTCAAAAGGATTTCGGCTTGTTTTATCGATGCTTTTGCGTACTGCTGGCGCTTTATGTTTCCGGGGAGAGGTGCGAGTCTACGCAAACTTCGAAGGAACAGCATTCCCTCGCAGCTCCGTTCTGCCAGCGAGGGTCTTTACAAAATCATATTCTGGCCTAAAATGTCTCGAACAGACCTTGGTTCCCTTCGTGATCCGAAAATGGATGGCGTGAAGCCAATGTTTACGGCGACCAACATGATCAGGAAACTTGAAGAACGAGACTTTCCTGCCATCATCCTCGCGACAACCTTTCTTGGTGCACTCGGGAACACAGCAGTGCGTGGCATTTTTTAAGCCCATGGTAATTATCTGAGTAATTTCGATTTCAGATACACAAAAACACTCGATTACGTTTTCACATTATCACGTTCGACGATACAGCAAAAAACAGGCTACATACGAGAGAGATTTGGAACGCTTTTGCATGTGTTTACATTTTTTATAATTGAACGTGGCCTAACTAGCCTCGCTCTGATGTTAGTAGTTACCATTCCGCCCGAGCGGTCCGCCATTATGAAAGTCGTGTATTGAAAACACCAAATTTCTACGAATCATACTTGACCAACACCTGACATGGAAAAATCATATTAGTTATGTCACTAACACGATTATAAGAACTACAGGTGTGCTTCATAGAATTCGCTTTTACATTAGTCAACCACTCCTAAGAATGCTGTACTACAGTTTAATATACCATAACTTTATTATGGAAATATCGTATGGGCTAATACTTATCCAAAGCGACTGGAAAACTTGTTTAAATTACAACAGAAAATATTAAGAATAACAACCTTTACATCATACACTACAACACCCCTTCCACTTTTAAGAAACTCCATCTGTTAAATACACACCAAATAATTGATCTACTTATCGCCTCATTCAGTTTCGGCCTTAATAACAATGTACTTCCACCTTATTTTGATGACTTCTGTATGAACAAATTTAACGTGCATAGTTATAATACTAGAGAATCAAAACAACTTCACATGATATTTAACAGACCGACAAATTATGGAAAATACTGTACTAGGGAAAGATAATTAAAATCTGGACTGAAATACCAAGGCTATCAAATACTCCGCATCTTTAAAAATCTTTACACCGAAAATGAAGCAATTCATTTTACAAAAGTGATACTGGCATAGATCTTATTTTGTTAATCGACTATTTAGCTTAGCCCAACATTGTCTCCAATGGATTGTAATTTTTATATATAATTCCAATTTCTGATACCATCTGACTAAATTAAGATCGAGTATTTTTGAAAGGGAGACTACTTTGTAAAAGCCTGCGAGGGTTTCCTTGGTCTTCTTCTCAAGTAGAGATTGTAACAGCTAAATATACATGCTGTATTACTTTAATATGGGGAATAAAGTCATTTCATTTCATTTCAAGACTATCAGCTTCAGGAATTTTTTTTGTTAACATTTCCTATTTAGAATTATATAACCTGTCTTTCTCGCACTTTGGGACTACGCTGTGGAATGAGATACCCTCACACTTCCGACACTGCCCCAAGAATAAACCCAAAAAGCAATCTGCAAATTACTTTTTGATATTCTGAATTTAGAAGATAAAAATGTTGATACACCCACCTTAATTGTCAACGAGCAGCCTCGTGAAGATGCACCATAGTTAAGTTATTTCTTTCTTTTCTTGCTTTCCGATCGAAAGATGGCCCGTCAACATCCAAACCACAAAGCTAAAAAGCTCGGGTCTAAGCTTGGCAGCAACAAAATAAGGTAAAACAGGTTCTGTGGAATGTTGAGGGAAGAAGTGTGTACAGGAAATCCCAATACGAGAAGTTAAGGAGGCTAGAGAGCAGTATTCGAAAGAAAATGGGCAAGAAAGGAAAGGGATTTTGACAGGGGCCATAAAAAACGGATTAGCTTTCAACAGAGTTTTCCTTTGTTCAAAAGCCTGGTGTATGGTGCACAGGATATCACAAACAAGGTATATCAGTTTTCAAATTACTTAATGCAACTTAAGACTAGTAATCTTCAAATGCAAAATCAGTGTGGCACTAGTTGAATATCTCAGTACTTTAACACACTATCAATATATATTTCTTTACATAATTCTGTTAGTAATTTGTGAGAGAAACCAAAGAACAAGCCGAAACAGAGCAAAAGCCAAAGAGGAAGAGTTTGGAATATAATTTAGCAATTGAGTGGTTTAGAAACTTCTCAAAAAACGCTGATCATATGCCAAATTCACCATTAAGGCCACTTCCAGCATGCCTTTCAAAAAGGCAATTAACTTCATATTATGTACAAGGCAGAGATGGGGGAGAAGACAGTGCTGAGCCGAAACCAGTTCATTTACAAGATGTGGAAGAAGAATTTTCCACAAGTTTACATTCCTTAGGTATAAACATGGTAATGGTAATAAACAAAGAAACCTTTGCAAATCATTGACTGCCGTTATGCCACAGACACTATCTAACCATAAATATCACAATTATTAACTATGTTTGACTTAACTGTTAATCGTAAATGACGCCCTTTACGATTGATAACTACAAAGTACCATTTTCGTTTATGATTAATAAGTGCAAAGCTTGCCCTTTCTAATTATTGACTTTGTAAGTTTGACTACAAAAAAATAAACATAACTGGAGAAGACACTATTGTGCCATAACCTGCAAAGAGAGAAACTTCTAATCCACCTGCAAGTTGTTCGGCAACAACTCCTTTTTCCCAGCTGTTCCTATTGAGTAATTCTAGTTCTTCGATTTCCCCTTTTGATTGAAGACCTACTGATAGAAAAACCAATGGCACTTCAAAAGTCAGAGGAAACAGTGAAAACCACATTGGGTCTTGCCTGTAGTGCCACGGAAGTGGTCTTAACTGAAGAAGAGATGGCCAGTTCCAATGATGATGGCAGTTGACAAAAAAGTAAGCTGGAGGACAAATTGCTAAAGATAGTGAAACAAGATTTCTTTTTTTAATTCACTGTTGAACATTTTTCGCTGCTATGTGAATAAAATGGTTGGGGGGCTTGGCTGAATTTTGAAATATCTTGTGTCAGGTGTTTAATTTATTCTCAACGTTGTTCTCAGTAACTGAATGAAAATTCGTTGGAATTCTAGAAAAGGTGAATAATGGTGCTTTTAAAAAAAGTTCAGGAGTCAAAAACAACTACACGACTCCCCTGTTCCGTGATGCTCAAGAGACCCTCAAGGGTCTCCCTCAAAAGTTGTTTGTTGTTCTTTAAAAATATATAAAAATACGCCCAAAACTTACAAACCTTACTTTTTCCTTGACTTCGGTTAAGTGACTGCAAATGAGATAATGAAACGTTCATGTTCACTTGACTGTGCCACCAATCTTAGTACAAGAGGTACGCTTGCACTCTCAACGAGCCAATTCATCTGATGACTCACCGCCCCTTTCCTTTCGCACACCCAAAAAGGTGAAGATTATAGATCTAAGATAAACTAATCGCTTATTTTCAGGTCTTACATACAATCAATAATCAAGCAGGAACAGCCCCAACGTCTTACTAAGAAGACATTTAAAGATGCTGTTAATGCAAAGTGCCGACAAGTAAAGTGTACGTGGCAGAAGCCTAAGGAAGGGAGAAAGGAGAGAAACGAGAAGCCTTGAATTGTCAACTTTAGTTACCTCTAAAAGTATAGTCTTGTTATCCAGTGTCCATTTTTCAAGTTCAGCCAAAAAAAAAGCGTTTTTCATACCTTGAATATTTTTCTTTGTCTTTGTTATTGTAACAAAACGACAAAGAAAGAAATGGGTTCTTTAATTTTCTACGTTTTACGCGAACAGTTGTTAAAATGAAAATATTAACTGAATTCTGTGAGTGCTTCTGAGATACATGCCCTTACTTGACTACAAGTAAGAACAACCCTTTCATAGTATTTACCATCAATTTTCATGAGATTTAATGCCTTTTAAGAAATAGCGCAACCTCTGAGAAAAATATGAATAAAACCTCAATGATAAGATGTACAACAAGTAGAGAGACTTGAAAGATTCTGAAAACCCTGTTTTCTTTGTGTTTAATTCATTCCATCTAGTTTAACTGTAATGAAGGATGAGGCACATGGCATTCGTTCAATGTTGCTGTGTAAAACTGGTAAGTTTTCAGTCATCAATAAGGAACCGATTTACAGGCAGCATTCACAAATGTACTTTGAAAACCTACGCAAGTCTTGAGAATGAATAAAAAAGACTGAAAGTATGGTAATTTTCTGGATGTAGGCAATGCTTAAATTTATTAACAAAGCAGCAGATGGGCCTGGCCAGAGAATCTTAGTTGTTTCCAACTGATGAACGTGCATGCACTAAAGACAGCTTACAGACTGCACACTTTACAGATCATGTGCAGACCTGTTTTTTGTTTCTCACCTGCAGGAAAACATCTTTGCAGATGATGAAGGCAATAGGAAACGCCACAGACAGAAAACAAACTTCATATAGAGAAGGTATTTCACCATTTTCCTCGATCTCTTAATCCAGTAGCGAGGAAAATGACAACAGTAAAATGAACACAGATGAAGGGCACAGTGACAGAGAAGTTACAAAGAGAGTAACAACAATGAGAGCAGTGATGGACTCAACAGAAATTGTACACAAAGTAAGGCAAAAGCCTGAAGATATTAAACTGCAACATCAGAAGAGTGAAATAAATAACGAAAATATAAGAGATCATGACCAAAATAAGAAAATGAGAATTCAAAACAACAGAGAATTACAAATCTGAGGATCACCAAGTTACCAATACTGGGAAAAGAACAACATGAGAGACCTTTAGCATCAGGTTTTTTATAGAAAACCGCAAACAGCAGTTTACAGTTACACTTTGCAGTTTCACGTTGCCGAGATTTCAAATTTTAGCAAGGCGTTCAGTTGAATTCAGTTCATTATTATTTCAGCCCAGAAGAAACCAGAATGCTTATGAAGCCTGGGCTCGCCAGTGTCAAAGAAACAAGTAAAATAACATGAAATTCGTGGAGAGATATGTTAAAAATAGGAAGGAAACAGACCGAGTTAAGCTATGAATTCAGTAACAAGATAGAAAAAAAACTCCAATTCTTAATTGGAACAGAATAGTTTCTTTTGTTAGTACGGCAGAAAGGAATATAAACTTGATTTGAACTACACGTTCATTGTTTAGGGCCACCATGCTGTTTTCATCAAATCGAACTGCATCACTTTAATCGCCCAAAAAAACAGCAATAATTCATTGATTCAAGATCAAAAATCCAACAAACACATCGAAAATGGATATAAAAAGCTAGTTCATGCCTGTAAACGTGAGGCTGTACAATTTTTAGTGGCAAAAACCCTTGGCGTAAGAGGTGATGATGATTGAAAACAGAAAGTTTATGAAACCACAGGGAGCCCAGAATCACAACAGCATACTGGAAGCCAAATTATAAGGATTTGTATGGAAATTTATCTTAAGATCGATAAAACAGTTAAACTGTACAAAAACAGCTATTAAAGTATACATACGTCATAAAAAGTTGTGTCTTTGTTGTTTTCTTACTGTTTCCTGCCCTATAAACGCCATTTTAGCAAGTTTTAATGTTTTGGTTTCTCAACTATTAAGAAAAATACAAAGGAAAACTCGAACCGTACTACGCTGCCAGAAGAAAAAGCTACAAAAATTACCTTCATTCCACTCCAATCGCTCCCAAACTTCGCTTGAGCGCAGAATCTTGATTTTCCTTTCTCGAAAATTTCAATTTAGTTCCAAACATCAAGCAATGACCTCAAGAGGGCGAGAAATGTCACTAAATAATTTGAACTTGCCGCGTCCGTAACACCGGTCTTCTGCAAAGTGACCTACCGATGGCGTGTAGCCACGTCACACGTTCAAGTTCCCCCTCGGCAGGGATGGACACGGGAAAAATCAACCTATACAAAACCAGATTCGCAGGGGTATCCAGGGAACGCTTTTGCGCGCGTATCGTATCTAATTACCTTACAGACAAGGCCCTTCAATCTGCTTTGATTAGTGGAACTTGATTTTCTTTGATTTAATGCTCATCCACAAAAACGGACGACAAAGTGAGGTTTGAAACCAGTGTTTCTTGTTTTTGCTCCATGCGCACATGCTTTGCAAGAAATTGCTGACTACAAATGCACTCACAGTAAACTTGATCCTCCTGAATTTAAGAACAAAGGCAGATGTTTCTCTTTCGAAAGATGTCTTTGACAACGTCATAAAAAGTACACTTGAAAGAGTGAATGTTCCTGGAAAAAGCAATCTTGCACAACACCAGTCGAAGGACTTGGACTTGCTTTATTTTCTGTGCAGTAAAGGTCCTTCTGTGTGATTGCCAACCGGCAATGGCAAATCACGCAATCACCAACTCTGTGCTGCTTTTGTTAAAGAACTTTCTTCCACTGGGTTGAAATCAGTTCCAAGACGACTTGTTTGTTGTAATTGTCTCTCTGCTTAATTATCTCACAGAAGATCAGATAGTTCCTGTGTAAAGATGGGCCTGGGAACACACAAAGTAAAATTGGAAAGCCTTGAAAAGTTGAAGGACTCCCGCAGGCCACAAGACTTTTTATGATTAGAAGTTTTCTTTGCCTGTGTACAACAAAGAGACGGTGATTTTTATGATGACACTTACTTCTTTGACCATGAGGCATACTGAAAATAGCACTACTAACAGATTGGTGTACATATATTTGTGTGTGCAGATACAACCAATCAGAAGTAGTGTCTAACTTTAGAAAAGCAGAAGGGTTGCGTGTCTTGTTCAACATTGTGGGCCACTTTGGATAGATATAATTATTTTCACGCACACCCAATCAGTGGCTGTTCATTTTACCATCTGCAATTTCTGTATTTTGTCTGTGTTAATGGTAAAACATGGCTTCACTATTATTTCTTGCGAGGATGTTAGAGAGGAGGAGGGATTTCAAGCATTTGACAACCATTGTTATGGTTAGGAAATGGCCTGTTATGACTAATTGCCAACGAGGCAACCAAGCCAAGAAGTGAGGTTGTCTCGGCGGCAGAATTATAACGCTGCGTAATGTACACAAAAACTCTCAAATTCTGTGTAACCCTCTAAAATTTGCATTTTTGACCATATTTGGGTGTAAGACCCCATATTTGGGTAGTGACATCATGGTCTTGTATTTACAACTCGTGGTCTGAAATTGGGTGATTCAGTGTGCAGCTGATCATTGTCTGTTCAAGAGCACCTAACAGGTGAGCAAGCTGTTAATACGATTTCTAGTTTGAAAGGGCAATTAGTGCTCGGGTTTGCTTTATAAAATGCGTTTAAAGCAGCACCTGATCAAGGAACAGGGCTTTACGTTCAAATTATTGTCAGAAACCAGCTTGTTCTTTGCAGCTCCATTTACATTGAGGTAGCTTGTTCGCTTCTCCACTCAGAACCAGGGTTTTCAGTGTTCTCTTTTCCTTTGTGAATTGAATTTTGAGCGGTAGTTGATCAAGGTATAGTTTTAAAGATCAGTATGCCTCGACTCCTCAATAAGCTGCCCACAGCATCTGTTTGGATGCTTGGAAAAGAAATTACATCCTCTACTGTTGGTAAAGATCTTGGCATTTATATTGACCAATCACTAACTTACAACGAACACATTGCTAAAAACAGTCTCTACTTGCCTACATAAACTCGTACAAATCAATGGAATAAAACACTTGCTAGATAGGAAAACAATACTTCTCCTTATGAGCTCTGTCATTTTTAGTAAGTTATTATTCCTTAGAACACAAAGACAAATTTTAATTGTATTACTCCTCAACTGTTTTGTCAAATACTAGTAAACATAACATCAACAAACTTCAGTTACTACAGAATTTTGCCACCCGTGTTGTTCTTGGCCTCAAAAAGTTTGATCACATCTCCCCAAGCTATAAAATCGCTAAATTGGCTGCCTGTTAATGACAGAATTTACTTGAACAATGCAGTGATGATGTACAAATTTATTAAGAAACTTGTGCCTGACTACCTATTTGAGGAATTTACTCTGCGTTCATAAATTCACACAAGAAATCCTAGACAATGCGATCAACTGAACATTCCAAGGTGCCGCCTAACCACCAGTCAACGGTCCTTCACCTACCGCGGTGCTAAGCTCTGGAATAATCTAAGAGACAATGTTAAAACTTCAGATTCTGTCAAAGTTTTTAGGAAAAAAATTGTTAACCTACTTTCTTCTGATCAATCTATGAATTTGTAAATAGTGAACGATCCATTGTATTTCTTTCACTTATTTTTTTTATGTATATTTATTATCTTAGTTATTTGGTAATTTATTTAGCTATTTTAGTTGATTGGTAGCCTTGTAACTGAAAAACCCTTTTGGGGAGTAGCAATAAAGTATGTATGTATGTATGTATGTAAGGTATAGGGTTATATTCTCAAAACTTTTATCAAAACCAGTGTGTGCTTCGCAGGTCGAATTACATTGAGCCAGTCCTCACCTCCTGTGAGGAATGCAACGTATTTGCGGGCCTTTTTATTAGGATTTATGTGTTTCGGGAGATTTTGTCAGCCAGCACATTTTCTTGCTGCTCGATTTACAGCCCAAAACTCCCACGAGGAGTGCAACGAATTTTGCGGATCTTTTGTTTTTAAGACTATCATTATGCCTTTCAAGAGACTCTTTGTTCTGTGACACTCGCTCATTAGATCTTTGTATTTTATCCAAGTTTATATTTTTATACCTCTGATACATTCCACCCCGTTCTTGCGCTTTTCACACATTATACTTTACACCAAATTTTTCTTATGTATATTTCCGTGCAAAATATTTTTATCCCTGATGACGCTGTTCCTCGGAATTAAATTATTATTTTAAATTTCAGCAGTCAAAGGCCTCATTTGAACTATATTTTTCTTTCTGACGTTTTTAGCTTTGATACAATGGAATTTTCCATGAAACATAAGTACTAACTTCCTCATATTTACCAACAAAGCTTCAAGCCATGTTGTTATTGTTTAATAAAACTGAAAGCCTAGAATGTGCCAAAGTTGTGGTTTTGAAGTTGGGTGCCATCCTTTTCTATAACGGAACCTACTTTAAACCTCTAAACTATGAAAAAATATCATGAAGATCTGAATAGGCACATTCCGCAAAGATGAATGAATTCACCTTGTTGGCTCTTGCCAGAAGGTACCCCTAGTATTTAATGCTTTTAAAAGACAAAAAATCCCATTTTCTGTTCCATCAACCTAAAATTTGTAAAGCTGTTGTGAAACATCTTTCGTTTTTGCTTTGTGACTCTTCACTTTTAAACTTGATAAGATGAACAGACTGATGGTGAAACACTGTCGTGCATGAACGAGGAGACCTTAAAAGACACTTGTGCCACCTGCTGGCATTCACTCTAGGCTTCTTCACAAATGTTCACAAGTTATGAAAACTTGAAGATGAACGTACGGAAGTTCACAAGGTGTCTACCTAAACGCAACCTGCAGCTTCAAATGCTGAAAAAGTCAGGAGAGGCATCCGGCACTCTAGACTACGAGCAGTCTCTCTCTTTTCTGAAGTCCGTCAAGCAAAACGCGAGACGCAAATGGCCACGTGCATGACTGATGGCAATGGAGAGGCACAAAGAAAGAGAGACTACCCACAAAGCCAGGGAGAATGGTCTTTCACGGTCTAGTGATTTTTTAGCGTAAGAACTGAAATCTAATTAGCTGTATCCAATGAAATCCTGTCTCTTGATGTCCTGTCATTTTACCCTGTCATTACAACGGTGACCGATTCAATTGGGAAATATGATATTATTGGACATAAAACTCGCGCTAAATCACGCCAAATCGAAAACGTGTTCGAAGGTTTTAATAATAGTTATAATAATAATAATAACGCACATATTTATACAGGATAACCTATCAGTTCTAATAAAAAGAACTGCCACCAAAAGGGTCCTGTAATTATCTCATAGATAGCTAAAAAATAAAGAAGAAAAGGGAAAGACGAAAATAAAATAAAACACTAAGAAATCGAAGATTCAAAAATCAAAATCTGTAAAAAATTATCACTCATAAGACTGAAAAAAGTTATGAATTATGGAATACTAGTGAAAAAAACTCTTTTAAATTACTCTTAAAAAGAAACCTAGAATTTAAATTTGAAAAAGCAGAGGTAAAGTATTGTAAACTAGAGTCCCTTGAGAGGCAAAACTTCTCTGTCCAAATTCTAATTTGGCTCTGGGAAGTTTTAGTGAACACCCATTGTTTCTAGTGTTAATGTTGTGTTCAATTTTTGCAAAATTTTCTTTAAAACGGATACAGATGTTATCCTGAAGACAATCAAACACAATCTGGCAGGACTGTCTCTTTATCAAACTCTCCACTGTCTGGACTTATAATTTCCACCAATGACTTTCTGACTTCGACATTCAATGCTTTCAATTCGACTCTTACAGGAATGTGACCAACAGAGACCCAAAGTTCCACAATACATAAAAACAGGTTGAATCATTGCTTTGTAGATTTTCTCAGCACTGCTCTTGTCGATTAAAGGTCGGATTCTTTTGAGTAAATTAAATCTTCCAGCTGCTCTTTTATACATTTTGTCAAAATGTGATTGGAGATTTAAGGACAAATCCAAGTTTACACCCAAGTACTTATAGGATGACATGGTATTAATCAGTGTTCCATTTACAGTCAAAGCTGGTCGTCTTCCATTCAATGCATTAAGCCTTTTGGTAGTACCAAAGATCATAAACTCAGTTTTGCTCTATTTTAGATCAAGGACAAGCTCATTATCACGAAACCAAGAAGACAGGTTGTGACAATCTTCACTGAGATGCCTTTGAATGGATTCCAGATCTTTAGCAGCTGTGAAAATTACTGTATCATAACCGCATAGGTGATGACTGAGGTTGACTGAAGATCGTATGCGCATCATTAAAATGGATAGTAAACAATAGCAGTCCCAATATACTTCCCTGTGGAACTCAGAAAATACGGGTTTGGCATGTGACAAAACACCTCTGAATTGGACTGATTGCGTTCAAGAAAACAAATAACCAGTATACCAATGAAGCTCCTTATTGTTAATTCCATAAAACGGCAACTTATCAAGAAGGCACGAGTGACTAACAGTATCAAATGCTTTTGACAGATCCATAAAGACAGCACCCAGGATGTTTCCATTGTCGACTTCTTTCCTGATTATGTCCGTAAAATAAGTAACTGCTAGTTCCGTAGAGCGTTTGGATCGAAATCGGAACTGGAAAGATGACAGCAAACCATTATTCTCGAGGTGTGACAACAACTGTTTATATACAATCCTTTCCAAGATCTTAGACAAAAACCCTGGGCAATGGAGGATGTGTCTGGCATTTTAGTTCCATTTATATTTATAGCTGCCACAGAGCCTGTTGTAATTTTTGTAGGGTACAACTTCTTGATTGCTGACCAAAATTTATCTGAGGAAGAGGCTAACTTGCAATAGATCTTTATAGTAATAGCCCATTTCCGAGTTCCTGCATGATTGGAGACTGGTGCCGAAGTAACGCACGAGAGCGAGGCTTCGTGCGAAGAAATCCAACATGGACGCCACTCTTGACAGCAATGTTGCTTGTGCTGACGAAGATTTTTCGAAATTGAAAGTCCATGATTTAAAAAGATATTTAAAAGAGCGTGGTATCCAGTTAAGCGATGGGGGCAAAGGCAAGAGGAAGGCAGAGCTTGTCGATTTGAGCGGCAGCGATGAAACAAGCCAAGTTAGACGATACCGCCGAAGACCGCAACAAGCTGATGGAGGACAAACTGCGGACAAACGATGGTAAATTGCCAGATCCTAAAACCTTAACCGCTTGGACCAACAACTTTTCTAACATCCCGGAGTTTACCTTCGAGACCTTTACAACTACCTAGTGGGGAAGGAAGATTACTCTGAGGAGAATCTCCGTTCGTTTAAAAGTTTGCTGGGCTTTAAATTATTTCGTGATGGCCATGTTATCGATTTAAAGTATTGTCCGCTAGAGAAGAACAACTTTTGTTTCTTCAAGTTTAAAGTTAAGCCCACTGAAAGAGCCAAAACGGAAGATGGACAGGCTACTTACAATGGTTTCACAATTCTAAAATCCAGCGGAGAGGTACACGCAGCATTTTGCCCGTGTAAAGGAGGGAGTGATGGTTGCTGCAGGCACGTTGCCGCTGTGTTGTTTGACCTCCAGGCCACAGTTAGCAATAATTTGATGTCAACGTGCACTTCTGGGAAATGTGAGTGGAAGAAAAGAAGTGGGAATAGTCAGTATGCTACCCTTTTAAAGAATTTAAAGATTGTTAAAGCTGAGTTTGGTAAAGCTGAAAAGGATCCTGTAAAACCACATAATTTTCAACCAGGACTCTCATCTTTTGATTCCAGCTCAATGAGAGAAAAGCTGAGGAGGGGTCTACAACAGTTATACCCTCAGTCAGTGGCCATTCACTTTCTCCCGAAGCCAGAAGATCCAGACACACCAGAACCATTAGTGAAAGAACACATTACCAATGATGCAAATGTTGAAAGGTTTGAAACTGTGGAGAATGTTACTGTTTACACTATGAAAGAATATGCAAACATTTTTAAATGTCAGAACAACATTGACAACAACATGGATATATCTGAAGACATTGTTGAGTCGTTTATGAAGTTTTTGTCTGTCAGTGAAAGTCAGTGTGATGTGATTTGCTCGAAAACAGTGCATCAGGGAAGTAGTCAGTTGTGGTTTGACCAGCGATCAGGCCGCATAACAGCTTCAAACTTTTACCGGGTGTGCCACATGAGAGACACAACAGACAAATCAAACATTGTCAAACTACTTATGAACTACTGCCCAATGGAGCATATACCTGAGCAGCTAGAGTGGGGCCATGAAAAGGAAATTGCTGCTTCAGAACTTTATTTAAAGAAGATTTCACTGAAACACAAGGAACTACACCTTCTTGAATCTGGCCTTGTTATTAATCAGAAGTGGCCTTTTCTTGGTGCAAGCCCCGATCGTATTCGTCACTGTGAATGTCATGGTAAGACATTAGTTGAGTGCAAGAGTTTGTTTGCCAAACGGAATCTGCTACCTGGAGTTGCAGCTTCTGACAAGTTGCTCAAAACAACGAAGGGCTTCAAGCTGAAGGAAGAAACTTCCTGGTATTACCAAATCCAGGGCCAAATGGCAATCTCTGGGATTCATGCCACTGATCTTGTAATTTATACAAACAAGGGGATTTTGATTGTTCATGTGGATTTTGACAAGGAGTTTTTTCTGCGAATGTTGGAAAAGTTACAACTGTTTTTTTCTAAGTTTATGGTGCCAGAGCTTCTCACTGGAAAAATATTAGGTGAAGTAAGGTCATAGCTTATTCCATAAGGTTTTATGTGTAGTTTTCCACAGAATGAAGTGATGTGAACTCTGTGAATACAAATGAACTGAACTTGTGACCATCACAGTGAATCGCAATTTAAGCAATTGTCAAAATAGCCCCAAAAAAAGTTTTTCGGGGCTTCAACGGGATTCGAACCTGTGGCCTCTGTGTTCATGCTGCAGTGCTCTGTACCAGCTGAGCTATGAAGACCCATACACTGGAGGCCGGCCACTTGAAATTTGAGTTCATCAAGCCGGTAAAGGAATGAAACACAGAATGAAATGAATGTGTAGTATGATGTTGATGATGTATTGTGTGTAGTTTTGTTGTAAATTACTTCACATATATGTTTTCATTTAAACTCAGGGCTTCCCATGTGGTGCAGCATACTTCTTTTGATAAATAACTTGAAAGCATGGTTTTATTGTAGTGATTGTGTGGTTTATGCAAAATCTGCAGTTTGATGTGGAACTACATAAATATTATTTAACTGGGTTGATGTGATGTCTTTATGTGTACATGCAAATTGTGTTATTATATTTGTATCCTTTTGCCTATAGTTGGAATAGAAATTGAATCCAGATTACAGCCAGATTTTCCAGAAATGTTTTCACTGCTTGAGTGCTAAAACATTTTACTTGAATCCTTTATTACACATACTCCTGCTATTTGTTGTTGTGAAGCAGTGCTAAATAAGAAAATATTCAACAATCCTTGTTGTAGGAATCTGGGATATGTTATCTGGCCAGTGGCTTAAGTAAATTACAAAGAGCTCCACAGACTATCAACATCTGGTCAGCAAGTGCAGCCAGGGTCAAAGGCAAATTCCCTTGAAATATCTTGAAGTCTTTCAATCTTTCGATGGCCCTTTCAACATGAATTCGCACTCTAGCAATTTGACGAGTGTTTTTTGTGGCTGCCCGTGATAGCTGTTTACCTGAAAAATAATGTGTTTTATTTATAAAATATACCATAAAACTCCGATAATAAGCCCCCAAAAAAAAAAACCAAAAATTAATAATAATAATAATAATAATAAGCCATCCCAAAAATAAGCCCCCCAAATATCAGACACAAATCTCCTCCTGATAATAAGCCATCCCGAATATAAGCCCATAGACTGTTATGGTTAGCTTTTGTAGGCTGTCATCTTAGTGGTTTAAGCTGTTTTTATAGTCAAGCCCAGCCCATTTTGAATTGCAAAATTCCTTCCAATAATAAGCCCCTGCGAAAAAACCTTTTAGCAAATACAAGTCCAGGGCTTATTATCATAAGTTTATGGTATATGTGTTTTTTTAAGAATATTACATAGTTTGGTACCTACATTTATAAGGGCTTTTAAAGTCTAATGTTATTACAAAGGTAAGCTAAAGTGATATTTTGACAGCTTTTTCTTAGTATAAAATTGAGAATTATCAGTTGAACTCTGGGAAACCTTATTAGTGAAAATGTTAAATATACCAATTAAATCTTACCTTTTTTTTTTTAAAAGGGAGGAATGTTAAGATAAACTTTCTTCTTTGTAAGGATGTCTCTAATGTTAAAACCCCTGTCAGCCATCACTGAATCGCCCTCCTCTAGCATGTCTACCAGTCCACTTTCCTGGGTGATTTTCCTGTCACTGGTACTTCCAGTCCAAAATTTGGAGAGAAAGCTAAAATAGCCAGAGGGGGTAATTCCAACAAGAGCCTTTATGGTATTGTGCCCCTTATATTCACTCCAAGTTGCTCTTTGTGCATAAGGAGAAGTGGGTTTTTCTATAAACATTTCTGTGCAATCAATTATTATTCGTGTATTGGGGTACTTGTTGAATGAGCGAGGGAGGTTTCGTTTAATTTAAGTCTTTACTTGGCCAGAGTACTAGTACCTCTTGAAATATGGATGCAAGAAAGCAAACCCATGTTGTGAATACCCTGCTTAACTGTGACTGTGAAACAGAAAATGTGTCAGCCAGTTGTCTTCCCATCAATCCAAGTCTAAGCCTCACAAGAGTTAAAACCAATTCTTCAGTCAGTGTTAGACTTCTTTTAGGTCCAGGTTTGCTGTTGGATGTTGTCTGGTATTTCATTTGTTTATTCTTGTTTTTGTCCCAGTATTTGAGCTTTTCAGCTTCTGGCTTTATCAATTCTGAAATCAAATTGAAACATCCCAGTGTGGGAATTCCAGTGTAAAACTTCACTGAATCATCATTTTCAAGGACATCCTCCATGAACAAGTCACGTTTTAGTTTAGCTTTATCGTTAAGTCTGTTTTTGAGGTTTTTAACTTCATTTTCCAGTTGTTCTAAATCGAACAAAGTCATGTCAGTTTGACAACCCACTGACCTTACCATCTCAGGTTCGGTATCTTGTAACAACACTGTCGAAGATCGATCATCTTCTGCTGAAAGGCAGTACGAATGGTCATGCTGAACATCGCAGAAATCAGCATTAGACGATCGAACATCCACCAGATCTGTAGTAATTTCTCCATCTGCATCAGCAAAGCGAAACCTGGCTTGGCAAGAGAGTGTTTGTTTTGCAGTCGCTAAACTCCAGCCGTCTTCTCTTCCGTGCTGTTTCGTAAACGAACACTTCTCGGTGTGCATTCATCGTTTGGTCGAAATATAGTTGGCAGAGCAGTGTTGTATGTTTTTCTCCTACCGTTCAAAGTTTTTCTATAGGCTTTGGGGTCAAAATGAGCGCTGCAAATCCGCAAATTGTTGCTCTTTCCTGCCTTTGCCTTCGCTGACTCCACTGAAAACTTTTTGTCCGCTCGGCGGCAGAATTTTATCCAACTTCCAAGCCTCTTGTCCGAAGGAAAAATAAAATATGACAGATCATTTCGATTGTGATTCCCATTATTGCAGCAGGCGACTGAGCAGTAGACCATCTCATAAATATTAAAACATTCAGAGCAGTGAAAACCCCTCAATCGCTTTTTATTTTTCGCGCCGCCAAGAGGGACTTCGCACGAAGCCTCGCTCCCGTGCGTTATTTCGGCACCAGTCTCCAATCATACAGGAACTCGGAAATGGGCTATTGCTCTTACATTTTTTCACTAGGCTATTCACTTTGTTGTGTTGTCATTTGTAAGATGACCAATCAATCTCACGATTTGTCCTACGAGCCTTTCTCAGTAGTTGATCCCTCAGATTCATTTCACTTTTGACTTCACTAGACAGCCAAGGACACAGACGACCTTCGATTTTCTTGGTAATGAGAGGGGCATGTGTACCTATAGACTGCTGCAGAATACACTTAAACTTTAAAGCGAGAGCACACATCATTTACACAAGATGATGTTAAAACAGAGCCAGTCACTGGATCTCAACTCGTTACAAAAAGCCACAGAATCATAATTCGCATAATTTCTGCACCTTATCAACATGGGTTGATATTTGAAGTTGTGGATCTTTCGAGTACAGCCGACTAAATCACGATCACTCAAACCAGCAGGAATTACTTTCGTTGGTGTAGATGAGGTCAATCAAAGACCTTGAATCCTGTGTAACTCTCGTGGGATCTTTAATGAGCTGTTTTAATCCCAGGCCAGTCAAAATGGATTTCAATTCTTTGTGGTCCGAGTTGACCAAATAATTACACTTAAAATGCATTCTTTGTTCTCCAAAGAGATGTTCGTAAGCATTGATTCCAATTTGCAATTAACATTTTTTGAAAGATGTTTTGATAAATCTGGAGAACGACAAATAAATCCCATAAAAAAACTTTTAGATTTAGGAAATAAAACTTCTATCCACAGACATTTAATATCGTCTAGTTCTAAGTTGTTATGAGCGAAACTCCAAAGAAAAAACGTCCCAGTAGAGGAAGACCAGAAAAGCAGCCTTTGTGCAACAATTTCTGGCGTGTATATAGTGTCAATTCTAAACATATTACGGAGAGTACAATCAAAATCGTGTTTCTACGGAGAATCTCTTCAAAGAACCAAAGAGAGAAGGCATGGAGAAATGTCTTGTCGACTTGCTTAAGGAACTCGGCTTTTCCTGCGAGAAAAGTTTGTCTGAGTCAAACCGAGTGTGTTCCAACTGTTCAACGAAAATCCCTAATGCCGTTCAGTTGATTAGGTTTTTAAGGTCTGGATTTGCCGCATCACGTTTGAGTGAGTCGATTCAATGCTCGCCAACTGCTGCAGAGGAACGTTTTAAGCGAATGTCCAGTTCGCCTCATTCTGCAAATCCCAGAAAGTAAACAAGAACAGCTTCCGCAATGGAAAAGGGAGTCGAGGCCCCTATGAGAGATTGCACTGAAAAGCCAACAACTCGGGGATCAATAAAGTATGATATGTCAAGTAATGTTACATCGCAAAGAATGCGTGAGGAAATTTGCGACCTCATGTCCATGGAAGAGGTCAATAAACCTGCCTTAAGAATTGTCATTCCATCTGGCAACGACAATTTTTCATTTCGTTCTGCTCCCCATGCGACAACGGCTAACATCATTAAAAATATTTGCAAAAAGAATTGGAAGCCAGTGGACAATGCATTGTTTGTACATGAAGAGCTCAAGGACAAACTCTTGCATTGCCTCTCTAAGAACATGGCTCATGAAATGACGGGGTACATTCATAGCGATAGCATGCTCAAGTACAAAAATTAAACGGCAAAAAAAGGTACAAATTCGGGATACAAAGATGTCAAATATCGTAAATGCTCGAATAAACGCCAGAATTCAGTTTCTGACTCGAGACGGGGACGCTAATACGAATAAGGGTGCCGTTTTTTTGTACTTTATTTTTATTTTTTTATTCAAATTTTGGCCCCAAAATAACGTTGTCTTTACTTCTAGCAAGTACAAAATGTAACAGTGAACAAGAACGTGTCTGACAGAAGAAACACAGATCAAATGTGCGTTCACCACCAACTGACTTGCCAATGTGAACAGGCTCCCATTGAGGGAGAACAAATGATTTTTAGCCTCCTTTCTCAAACAGGGAACTTGTTCACAAGGAGATCGACGCGTTTAAACGAATTTGTTACAAATATGTCCTCAAC